CTGAAGGAGATGCTCTCCGCCACGCAAAAGCTACCAGCATCCTCGAATAAAGTAGGGTTAACACCAAGGATAACACAGAGAGACCTGGAAACAGACCTAGAGCTCCAGCTGTGGGCACGCCACCTCGCGTGGGGACCATATTAGGTCAAGTCTCCATACCTCCTACCCGGCCCCAGGGGACGTCAAGCGCATGGCCAAAGACATCGACCGCTAAAGCCTCTACGAAACCCATTCCAAACACCCCACACACCGTGACTGAGAAACAACCAGTGGAATTACTCAAACCCATTGGGAAGTCGGGCGTGCCACCCACAACGAACCCAGGTCACAGGAGGACCAACTCGATCATTTTGTTCAACGTCGATGTATCGACAGACTCATTGTTGGTCGAGAGGGAACGGTTTGACAGCCGAATGTGGACCGACTACTGTCAGATGCTGGGACTCCCTCCCCTCCCTGCAACTTTATGTCGCCTTTCTCGAGGAAGCCGTGCACCCCGAGATAAGCCACCCCCTTTACGTGTGTCCCTAAATACTGCCAAAGAGGCTGAAGACACACTCCCTCTCTCGCGACAACCGGACGTTGTTAATGCCTGTAAAATTCGGGCCAGGCCTGACAAGCCATGGTCAATAAGAGAGGAGGAGAGAAAGTCAGCGGTTGGAAATCCCAACAGAAACAACACTATAGTTGTACATGGGATTCCAGAATTGCCAAGTGACAGCTCGGTCAAAGATCGGTACTTTCACGACGTCCAACAATGGCAATGGCTCTCAACCAAAGTTGGTCTCAACAGTATACCGGCCAACAGCGTCAGTAGACTGCCAAGGCCAGCGCACCTGAAGACCATACCCAATCCCAGACTACTCGCCGTCCAGTTCGACTCATATGCCTCCCTCACAGACGTTCTACACGCATGGTATAATGCGAAAGATCGCATGGGTGGCTCAATACGTATATGTGAAAGTAAGCCTAGACCCACAAGGCAAGAGGAGAGACGGCAACCACCAAGACCTCTGGAGTCAGTGGTCGTCACACAGGCGCTGACCAGTGAGTTAGATACATCAAGTAAAGAAGCCACCACTGCCACAGCCCCCACCCAAGTCAAGAACAAAACACCGTTCGCTCGGCCAGTTTCAACGACTACTTAGTAAATTCCTCCTATCTAACGAATCTCATCAATTCGTTGACGGCCAAACCACAAACGGTAATGCCATGCACTAAGGTACTACTGGTACCTAGACTCAAGGGAGACTAACAGCAATGACATAAGTATACAATGCCGAAAACTAAACGCAACAGTTTAGTTAAGATCTAATTTCTTAGAAAAAAATGACCAAGAGTGAACAGGAAGCGGAGTGCGACACGATATGCTACAGTGAACTTATTAGATACTCAAATGTAACCTACTTTTCTTCACAACCTAACCGATCTCACGACTTAACACCTATTTCCTAAAAATCGCCCCTTAAAGTAATCTCTCTACTCCGAAAAGATAAAAGAACTGTCTGTCGGTGCATTTTCATAGCATGCAACTCTTTATTATTTGCCCTTTGTCATCAGTACTTACATCTAAGTACTCTGCACCAACATAGTTTCGGTAGACCCGATATGGTAATGCTCAACAGGCAACACCATGATCATCCCCCTCGTGACCAGATAAAGGGTGGTGGTCCTAAGAACAAAAAAAAACCACGAATTTCACCTAAATGTTTATAACTTCATCATACGCTTGTACATAGGTATATAACAAGTTAATACCTGGTCAAATAATCCTCTAATCTTTCTATTTCGTAGTGATATCTTCAGCTTCAGACTGACTTTCATTACTGTCGTGCGCACCTTCATCTTCTTCCACCTAAGCTTAGCTCTAAACAGTTGGTTCTGGACACTTCCTCAAGTAAGTTTAATCGTCAGTACAAACTCACCCAGATGTATCATGGTCGATCTACTCCTGCGTATTTTTGTGCTCCTGTTACAAATTTCGCCTGCTGCTCGCTTTTGTTATTCACTTTTCAGATTTACTTAACCAGTCCTGCATTCAAATGGAATCCTACAAATCGCATTCGTCAGCGGGAAATATTGGCACCAAAACCTGATGACGAACGCGCACACCCCAAGGTCATGAATGTGATGCGGCCTCACCTTCAAGAATATTGGATGATTCAAACGATGACCGGATAATCTCCAAATTCGAACTGAGCCTGCTTCAACATGCCTCCTATATGCCATAAATCACAGCATCTAATGTATAGCATAACATTGTACATAATAGTCATCTCTCATTACCAAAGTGATCAAACCTGTAAACTGGTTTGTATTCATGTAACCTTTGTTGCATGAAATATATTATTATTATTATTATTATTATTATTATCAGCCACAGTGTACCAGAAGTAACACACAGACAATCAATGAGAACCTCATGGTTAAAGCGTGGGACAGAGAGGCTTATCCGGAGCAAAAAGCAGGCTTGGTTCAAGTGGCGTACATCACGCAGGGAGTCTGACTTCTTGAACTACAAAAGGATTCGCAATCTCTGTAACATTAGAGTGCGTAACGACAGATTTTCCTACCAAACAAACTTGGCAGCGAGGTTACAAAGCAACCCCAAAAACCTGTACCGCTTCATGTCAAGAAGAAAGTCGACCAGTAAGGGAGTGAATCTTGTCACAGGCCATGACGGGAGTGTGCTAAGCAGTCTAGAGATTGCCGAGCTTTTGAGCTCACACTTCCAAGCCCAACTCAGCACTGACACAAGATCCACACCGACTCGCCACGACACCGACCAGGTCGCAAATAACGAATACCTCTGTCACGTCTCTATTACAGAGAAAAAGGTGTTCGAGAAGCTATCTAGGCTACGTCCGGGCAAGTCCCCTGGCTGCGATAACCTGAAACCAGTGGTTCTGAAAAACTGCGCCGAGGTGCTTACCAAACCACTTCGCAACCTCTTTGAGCACTCAATAGACTCGTGCAAACTCCCTAAAGAATGGAAGAGTGCCATCTTGTCACCCATCTTCAAGGGAGGAGACAGAAAAACCCTGGCAGCTACAGGCCGATTGCCCTACTCCCTATTGTGTCGAAAGTGTTGGAAAGCCTGGTAGCTGACACCATCTGGGAATTCCTCAATAAGGAAAACACTGTCCACACTGCTCAGCACGGCTTTCGTAGTGGTCGCTCATGTGCCACCAACTTACTAACCGCCTGGGACGACTGGACACAAAGCTGGGATAATAGAAAACCTGTACATGTTGTATTTCTCGACCTAGCCAAAGCATTTGACAGTGTCCCACCCACAGTACTGCTTCACAAGATCATGTCAGCTGGTATAAGTGGACCCCTACTCTCTTGGTTCAAGGAGTACCTGGAAGGGAGGCAGTTCTGCACTAAAGTGAACAGAATAAGGTCGGAGTGGAGACCCTCGACGTCAGGAGTATCCCAAGGAGCAATCCTAGGACCGCTTCTGTTCCTCCTGTTTGTCAACGATCTGCCAGACAAAATATCCTCACCCATCCTCCTCTTCGCTGACGACATAAAAATTTGGAGGGTGGTAAACGAAGAAGCCGATTGTGCAGCACTACAAAAGGACTTGCAGCAACTCGAGCTCTGGTCGTCGGAAAATGGCCTGAGCTTCAACTGGAAAAGTGCAAAGTAATGCACATCAGTAAAAATGAGGCAAGTACGACCGACTTCCAGTACATGTTGAGCAACCGTGCTATCACCAGAGTGTCCATGGAGAAAGATTTGGGGCTCAACTTCTCCGACACCTTGGACACCAGCTCCAACTACAAAGGTATGACAACCAGAGCGAACGCCATTCTACACTTTCTGCGTAGACAGCTTGGCGCCCTCACTCCCGAACTCTTCCTCACCATTTTCAAATCCTACGTGCGGCCGCACCTAGAGGTCTTCAATACGGTGGCTCCTCCAACACTCAAGAGAGACTCTAATCTCCTTGAAAGAATACAAAGAACTGCAACAAAATCAGTTGTGGGGCTAAGGGGAAAGACGTATCCTGAAAGACTTAAACACCTCAACCTATTTACCTTGGGTTATCGCAGGAAAAGGGGTGACCTCATTATGGCATACAAGATCGCCCATCAGGCAGACCATGCAAACAAATCAATTTTGCCTGCAACTGAACGATCTTCACGAGGAAACCCCATTAAGATAGCACACCAGAGAGCCAACACCACACTCAGGTCCAAATTTTTCTCCCTAAGAGTATGTGCTTTATGGAATGCCTTACCGCGACACATCGTTATAGCTCCTTCAGTCGACTCTTTCAAGAGGCGATTAGACAGTTATGTCACCTCGCATGGACTACCACGGACGTACTCAGGTAGTCACCAACCTCAGTACCCCCAACTCCCTCCTAACTACCACTCACTATCTCTCTCCTTAATACACCCACATTACCTACTAATTCTTCTGTAGGAACCAAACCCACGCGACCATTCGGGCAATTCCCAAATACTTTTCTTTCGTTCTCTTTTCACCCCTCCTTTTCTTCTCCTTCCCTTTTCTCTTCCCTATATTATTATTATTTTTTTCCTTATTTCTCTCTTCATTCCCTTACCACTACCTTACTATTCTCTTTCAGGTACCTACACAGACAGGAGTCACGGCAGTTCTCTAAACTTCCCAGCAACCCGTAGCTCCCTAATCACTCTACAAATTACAACCTACTAACCCACAAAACATCCACCTCACCGAAGCTAAAAGCAAGAAAGCAGAGGGGATTTCCTCGTCCACTGCAGGAGTAAACCGAACAACTCGAACCAAGCCCTAAGAACTAGACGCGAGAGATCAAAAACTACCAGTTTTCTACGCTCGCACTATCAATATTGATATTGAAATATTAGCTCGTAAAAGGATATTAGATATGGGGGTGTCTTGCTGACCGAACAAAAAGGAACCCAGCCGCAAGGCCTAGAAGTGAGAGCTGAAAACTAAAAGTGTCCTCTACTCGCACAATTGATATTGGATGTTGGATTGATGCCATTTTTACAAAAGGTGCGTTACAATGAAACGCCTGGCCGTTAACATGGTTGGAGGAGCTCCTATAGCCAAGATGTATGATTTACTGACTCTACATAAACGACCTATTCCTTTAAAACCTATTGTTTGAGTCGTGTCACATAAAACCATTGTGTATATGATGTCCAGTCTGTGGTGTTAACTCTATGTTACCTTGTCATAGTCTTAATTTCAAATGCTTACCATCCAGAAGTATCACGTACTGTCATGGAAATTCACACTAATAACCGAAAAGTGAAAATTTAAGGGCATTCGTCAAATATCGATATTCACAATCGATTCTGGTCTATTTGGGAACTTTAGGTAAAACCCAAAACAATCATTTTGGTATTCCTGTGGATTATCAATATCTTTCCTGAGAAACGTATGCTGTTTGATGTGAAGACGCCTTCGCACCAACAATACCCAACACCATAGTACGGCCATAGGAAACTGATAGTTTTTGATCTCTCACATCCAGTTCTTGTGGCTTGGTTCTCGCTATTGACTTTGCTTCTGTAGTGGACAGTGAAGTTCATTTTGCTTTTATCTCTGGCATGATGAATGTTTTGTCGTCTGATGTTTGTGACTTGTAGAGTGAGTTGACTAGGAAGCTAAGGGTTGCTGGAACGTTTAAGGGTCTTTCATGACCACTTTCTGTATAGCCACCTTCAGACAATTGTGGTTCTGTTTTATTGAGGAAGATATTGCTCATCCCTATTTGCACCCAAAGGAGCCTTTTTTGACTTTCGCTCTTAAGTAATGAAGTGCACCCGGAGTCATTGCTGGCTGTGACTAAGCCAATCCCATGATGAAGATTGGAGGTTGAACACGACATCGTACGTGTCTCCCCATATTTGCATCCCTATGGCTCGACATGTCCCGTCACTGATCTCACTTCAAATGTATCACACCCCATATTATCCCCGCGTAATATCCTACGTGTACCATCTTTTAAAAACCTTTCCACCAGAATGGCGAAGAAAAATTATCTAGAAATGCTACAGGTATTTATATTGAGTAGTTTGGTCCGTCTTAAAAGCTGAAAGCCATCTGACTAACAGTCATATAAAGTACCAAATCGTTTTCAGTAACAGCTATTACCATGCGTTAAAAAGCATTGATCTGATACCGTATCTCGAATGTCCAAATTTCAAATGTTTTTATCTATACTGGTTTATATTGTGCATTAATGGAATAGACTAGTATTCCTAATTAATAAAATGCGTTAACTCTTCAAATGGTCATACTTTGTTTCTTTATTTCCCATTCTCATCGCAACTCCATATGAAGCTTAAAACATTCTGCTCATCTGTAAATGGTCCAATTAAATTCTTCACAAGCAGCTTCCACTACGAACCGTAGTCTGTTGCGCATACTAGTTTTTTCACAGCTCTTGGTGACAATTTTTAGCCCTTTGAGCACCTGATTCACAAACAGTTGAAGTTTATGACAGAAAAATGTGGAATTTTTCAAAACAGTTTGTCTAGTCGAGACCGCATCTTTTGTCTGAAAGTAAAAGACCTTCAGAGGACGGAAATAACTGAGACAGACGGGAATGAAAATGGTAGCAGAGGGAATACAGTAATAAACTGTAACAGTTACTCAAAAATATTTCCGGTATTTCGGATGATGAGAAGGAAACCTATTTATGCCTAGTCACTTAGGGTTTGGATTCCAACAAACTTATCTGTTTAAAGCAAGGGTTTCCTAACCATCATTGGTTGTTAACTATTCCTTACCAACTGAAAGACGTGCGTCCACCCCCTTATGGTGAAATTTTCGCCATATGAATGCAAGGAAGCAAAACGTCTGTGACACTAGAAATGTGTTGCACGAAAGTCCATGACTTCTACCCAGCGGTGGATACAGATAGGTCACGTTGCTATCAATCATCGCTAGAGAAGGTCGGTGGAAGACTACCACGCCTTCGGAAGCACGTTTCTGGACATCGGCCGTGTCGGTTCCAGCGCCTATACGTCTGCGTCTCAATGGACGTATAAAAACTTTAACTACAAGACCATTACTAGTGTAGCTCGACAACCAGAACACTGAGGCCGCTTTCAGTGATAAACTGGCTTGACAGAGCAATATCACTCATCCAGAAGAAGCTTAGCGCTACCTCCACTCAGCTGTAAAAAGCGTCGAAGACCGTATTCGACTCTCAAAGGGTAGTCAAAAAGAACAAGCGGATATCAAGAGCCTTTTCTGAATAACTGGATGTGCGTGAAAACTCCCCTCCAGGCTCAGAGTCAGATGTAAACTGACAAAAAGTCTATGCAACGACCGCGAACAGTGGCGGGCAGCGAGGCTAAAGAGTTGGAAAAGGGACCTACGATAGGCAACAACAGACAGTTATTTAGACTTGTCACGGAAACTGGAGGAAGGAGGTTATGTTTAGTTAGATGATAAAGTAGAAGAATAGGTCTGCGACTCACTCTCAACAGAGATAACTGGAAAGATAAGCGGAACACTTCGAAGAACAGTTCAGCTGGCCTCCAGCTACTGTTGCGTTCCCCGCTATCCAGTCGGATCGCGAATGTAACATTAAGACAGGGTACCCAACACTCTCACTTTGATATCTAAAGCTTGAATATTCGCACTAACCTCATCTTCAAAATACTCATTGTCTCACACAATTTTGCCTACTTTGGTGGCATCATTCTGTTTCTCTCCACTTGTTCTTTGTATACTACTGTGAATAGTGGCAACTTGAAGTGATTCACTTGTTCCCGAGTTTCTACATTGATTTTGTTTGCCTGATCAAACTGGAGTTATGCTGATTTCTATGTTTCTTGTATTTCCACTCCAACCGTATGAAAATTAACAACAGTGCACATTTCCTGATACAGTCGAATGGGAATAAAATCTATAATGCTTTCAAAAACTCTGCCTAACGGTAGTAGATTCATAATCAGCTGAAGAATTCGATTGACCGTGTTTATGTTACGCGAATGTTACCACAAATGTAAGAAGTTGAAAGTCAATGTCTGGGAGTTATCACCAAATTAGTGAATAATAAAGCTTCCTATATAATGGCCTGGATACAAAGTTAAAATAGGACTAGGCATTACTATGTGATGTTCCAAGTTGTCACACCTGATATCAGCACATCAACTAACAAGGTAATAAAACGGAAGATGAAGGGGGAAAAAGAATCGATCAGAAAAAGTAGAATTTAGTAAAACAGAAGAAGGAGGAATGAGAAAATGATGAGATTAAGTATAACAGTCAAGATGAAGATAAGGTGTGGATACATCTGCTCTACTGACATCAGTTTTGAGCCATATTACCTAGTCTCCAATCCGTGGTTTCTCTTGTCCTGTGGACACCCACCGGCTAGTCTGTACCGTCGTACATGCCTCGACGAATAGTCAACGACTTCATGCATTGATGTCATTTTAGTTTGGCCTTCGTAAGCCTTTTTCCTGAACCTAGTTCGGCCAACATTGTGCGACGAGACAGACTGGCTAGGTATACGTAATACATGCCCTAGCCATCTCAGTTGATGAAGGTTCACAACCGCATTAACTGTCTTACCTCTCCCGCCTAAAACTGAATATGACTTCTGCGTTTCTGACGTAGTGACACCACGAAACACAGACTATGCTACGTAGGCAACGGTAGTCAAACACCTGAAGCCTTCTCATATCTCTCACCTTTAATGGCCATGTTTCGGGATACTTAAACCGACATCTAGTGTTAGATGTTAGGATTCAGTTGACAGGCAGCCCTTAACCTGGGTTTCATGCTTACCAGCAACGCGTGTCTGCAACCATGTGGGAACCGTTGTTCAGTCGTAACCTAAATAGCTTATTTGTTAAGTTTTTGACTTCAGAACTGAGTGATGCAGGCTCGTGTCACCGAAGAAACAGCAGTTTCCTCATGGTTGCCTGTACGCCAACAAGCACGAAACGGGTCACTCTCTGACGTCTTCCTAAGTTTGAACATTTTCGCTAGCCTTTGCCTTTCAAATTATTTCTCCTTTCATTCGCTTTTGTGAAATTCGATATCGCTATTTCGCAATCCACTTGTTCGCTACGTAATGCTGCTGCAGAGGGTGGCAACCTGGGTCGATGGACTTCTTTGTGAGATCGTATGCATATTTCGCCTGTTTTTGTCCAGTCAGGACTTCCTACTGACTAACTAGCAACATCTAACACCAAAATACAGCGCACAGTAGTGTCACATTTCTTAGCCCAGTAACTGCATTACAAAACTTGATTGTTAGACTTCAAAGCACTACATCGATTACCCCATTAGTGGCGAATTCGTGCAAACTGATTGATGTTAACAAAAAATGAAGCTTATAGCTGCGTGTTTAAGTTGTGGAAAACCACAAACAGTGCGGAGTCGTCGACACTATGAAGGTAGATATCCAAATATGTTGCACGAAAATCGCAGAACCTCATTGCTTGGCTTAGTATCATTCATTCTTTTACCGTTTTTAACGTACAGAACATTTCTGGGTAGAAATGAGTACTTATTTAGCAAAACATGTGTCTCCTTTATTTTTAATGTTTTAGGCGACAAACGACGCTGGTTCCTTCTGGAGGCCTATCATCACAGTCAGTAAATGAAAATTTATGGGAGACTACAGAATCATTATTAGTCTATAAACATCCCAAGTGTGAACCAAGCGCTAAAGTAACTTTACGGTTTTTAAATAAGTTAATATTCCAATTAGATTTTAGGCTTGGATTTAGATGGAACAATTATTATTCCATCTTCAGGAAAGGTTTTCCCAAAGGATTATACCGATTGGAAGTATGATTTCCCTTACTGTTTTCTCCTATCATCTTTTAGACTAATCAACAACAATATTCTATCTAAACTCAAAGAATATTTTGACAAAGGATACAAAGTTGTTTTATTATCCAATCAAGTAAACAGCTTATGTGTTTTATAATTCCTGATCTTTGAAGAGAGGCATAACGAAAGGCTATCAAGATATACCTAATTTCAAGTTAAAAATACAGAATATTGTCGAAAAACTCAACATACCAGTACAAGTAATTTTCAACATCTTTAAGTCTCCTACATACATGTTAGGCTTTATTTTCCATACTAGAGGATAAAAATCGTAAACCTCTTACTGGTATGTGGGATTATCTCAAGGAGAAAGGTAATTCTGGAGTGTCTATTGATTCATTTTCATCGTTTTATTGCGGTGGTAAGTTATCTATATTTTTCTTCGTTTTATGTTTTAGTTATTTTATTTCAGTATTTACATGAAATAATATGAAAATTAATATTTGGTATATTTTTTTGTTAGGTATAAAAACAAGGTATTGTGTTATAAACAGTAATGAAATGATATGGACTTTTGATTTATCAACTGAAAACAAGTACCTAAAGCATATTATTGTAAATTTTATAAACACTTATGCTTATTTCGTTTAATATTACGGTGATAAACATTATTACTTGTTGAATTTTAGTTAGCTGTAAGAATTAGAATAATCTATGTTTAGTAATGATAGGCAGTGGCTAGCATCCGCATAGGAGCCATATGCCAACAGAGGCTGATCAATTCGGTCCTATCAACGACGGTGTAATACAAGTAATAACACTAAAAATCAGAATAATCGTTATTATTGAGAAACTAATTCATGGATTATTATTATTATTATTGTTATTATTATTATTATTATTATTATTATTATTATTATTACTTGTCCCTTGGGTTCCTAGTGGAACATAGGGCTCCAGTAGCGCGTCTCCATTTCACTCTCTTCTCTGCAGTCATTAGATATAAATCATCATCGACGGAATACAAATCTTCTAGGGTCTTTCTATCAGTCCAACGTATGCCCGTCTTCTAAATCCTCACAGTTTGCTGCATTGTCCAGTCGACCACAATCAGGGAGATTATCGGTGATAGTAGGCAACTTTGTCTTATTCCTGTCTTCATGGATAAGGAAGTATTTTAGATTCGACTTCTTAGCTTGGCATTTTCAATATAGGTTTCTTATAATAGGCAACAAGATTAGAAATTGAAAAAGTATACTTCTGTGAAATGTGTTGGTTACAGCGGGAACCAATTAAAAGACAATAAGTTGGAAAAGATAAATAAATTACTTCAACCGTGTGTGATACCTTCTACTTCGACTTGCGGAAGCAAGATATTATCTGCCTCATTAGTAAGTAAATGCTTAATCGCAGATGTATACACACATTATCCTCATCTTAACAACGCTATAACGAATCTCACTATTTGTCACTCCTCTTTCCTTTCTTCTCATGCTTTATATTTCTTTTGACTGCACTCACTTATCTTCATCTTTCACCTCACTACCTTTTTACTTGATGTGCTGATATGAGTGTGGCAACTCGGACCGTTACGCAGTAATGCCTGGTCCTATGTTGATAATGATGATGATGATGATTCTCCCTTTTAACTAAAAGGGTAGTGGTAACTCTTTGACATTAGATGACCAGGTTCTTTTAATTTATTTGATAAATACAGATGTTACGAGATGATTTTACTAATTAAATATGCATCTTTATATCTAAGATATACCAAGCCTTTAAGGTATTCACAGTGTTCTAACTGAATAAGAGCATTTGTGTGTGTTAAGATAAAACACACGAGTTTCATATACTCGTCACACATTCAAACTCCCTTCCACCCAGTAAGCTTTAGTCAGTATCATCAGCTTTCAAATGGATTAAGTGACTAAACACTGAACTATCCAACGTCCTTAGTCTGAACATGAATATTTACAAACGTATATATATATATATATATATATATATATATATATATATATATATATATATATATATATATATATATAATCAGTTGGTTATCAGTGCTTTCTTTCGATATTCATTCATGTAAACCTACAAAAAGTCGCCATTCTATCACACTGAAGTCAACTGTATCAAGTTCCAAGTGAAGCATCAGTTGTAACCATCAAGTCTAGTGTAGAGATAACTCGAAAATAGTACAGTACTTTTAATCCTGGCATGTCATAGTCACAATGAAGGGATTAGGTTTCCATGCACTGGTTCACGTTACATAAATTTACCGAACAACCTTTCAATCTTCTTTAAAAAGAGCATACGGAGTAATTTTCTGGTATTTTGATCTTATAGGTATCTTAAACTGAGAAAGTTATTAATTCTTACACAAAATAGTTCGTACCATAGTATTGTGATAATAAATTTTTAACTGCATTCTAGAGTCTTTCTGGTTAGTAACCAATATTTTAGTTGAATCGTATTGCTACGTATGCAATTTTATACACAGGCCAGTATCGATTGTTAGGCAATGTGTACACCTACATCTTAGGGATATTTATGCTTTTATAAATATTTACCGTGAATTATTTTGACTACTTGGAAACAAAAATTCTTATTACCTGTATTATCATCTATTCATAGTGTTGTATAGGTCGGAAACAATGATTCTGATTTTACACAATTTCCTCTTCTAATTCTCTTTCTTTAAGGTGACACCTAAGTGATAAATTTTATTTCTAACTCTAAAAAATAAAAGTCATATCGATATATCCCAATATAATTTGATACACCACTTGATCCCTTGACTCCTCTTTCTCAACAATCATACAGTACTCAAACTGTAAAGAAATGTGATTATTATTGTCTATTACTTATCAATTCAGTGTTTTACAAACCTCCTAAACCTCTGCTTATTCTACTTTAGCTGTAACATAGTTTGTTGGTCAACAGTTAAATACTGATGACTCCTAACACCTTGATAATCTAAATCTGGATAAAATTCCTCACATTAATTTCGTAAGGTTTTGGTATTTAATACTCTTTATCATACTAATCGATCTCCAGACAGTTTAGAATAAACCTCTATGATTTTATCCACTTTACTAAAAAATGTTCATACCTTTCTAGTATTTAGTCTACAAGCTATAAATGTTCATTTATCTGATTGTATTCTAAGATTACTTAATATCTTCATTGTTTGATACAATTCAGATCGTCATTTGACTATCTGTGATAGCCATAGTTTGTCAGACTAGTATCTTTATACTAGGTGATGATTGAAGGTGAGATTAAAATCTGACCACGGCCGGATTCGAACCAGCAACCAACAGGTTACCGGCCTAGTGCTCTACCAACTGAGCTACGAGGTCCGACTGCTGACCACGATCACAAATTCATATGGTAGTCGGGCAAAACCCTTGGTAATTGATGTGAAATAAAGATCTGATCAGCAGTTAGACCTCTTAGCTTAGTTGGTAGAGTATCGGGGCGGTAACCTGGGGGTTGCTGGTTCGAATCCGGCCGTGGTCCAGATTTTCATCTCACCTTCAACCGTCATCCAGTACAATTCACATCCCAAAATACTTATGTTAGACATGTTAACTTTGCGTTGATTGAGTATGGATATTTGATATACTAAGATCTAGTTGAATGCTTTTCCTTGAGTTTGGTTGTATGAGTCTGTTTAACTGTACAAAAGCAAAATGAAATTAATTACCCATTACTTAACAGGTCTTATTTATCGTTCTTATTCTATAAAAAGCTATTCAATGTGTCAAAAGTTTTCAACGTTTCATCCAAAACACCATTACAATTGAGAGTTTTGTTTGACTATCTTTCAGCAAACGGGGCTTACACTTTTATAGAAGTAGTATATTCCGTGGTAAACAGTCCAAACTTCAAGTTCACTGCATATGAATAGGACTTAAAACACGTGTCTGAAATTAACAGCGCAAGTATTCTAAAAACGAACAACGGTCGTGAGAAGTAAATTACAAATCAATGGATTTTTAAATAAGTAACATACGTCTTCTCTCTCCTTTCATGCACACAGTATTCGTAATAATCTCCGCGGAAACACATAATAACTCAGTAGTAACGTCTCTGACCTCAGCACCGAATGACTTGTGTGCTATTCCCAGACAGGACATAAGTTCTGTTGAGGTTGGGGTCGCACCGATGCTGAGGAGTATCAACAAACACAAAACCTTGGTCCAGGACTTCCTACCGATTGCCTTCGTCCAATTAAAATCTATCCGAGTGCATCGCGATGCTGAGTCTGAAATAGTGGAGAATATTTGTAGGTCAGGTGGATGGTCTTGGTTGTATTGTGTTCTCTGAGGTGGGCTGTTTAATCGTGAAGCTTTCATCGTCTTTCTGGACAACATCAGCACTAATTCGGTATGAAGTGAGCTGTCAATATCTCTCCGTGACTGATAGTAGCTTGCCTTGACGAAGTGGGATCGCCGATATCCGGAATAATTACAGAAGCAACGATGCAGAACCTGGAAACCATCATTCTACCTGTGATTAAACCAAAAATTGGATTTGCTATGTGGGTGACCCTTTGTCATCATTAAAAAAGATGATATAGAAAATACTCACAGTTTGATCAACAATGTTTTCAATAACATTAAACTCACAATACAAAAGGATTCAAACAACTAACTACCATTCTTGGATGTTTTAGTCAGTAGGACAAATGCCGGAAAGCTGGAAACCCAGTTTACAGGAAGCCAACACACACTGATCAATCCTCAACAACGCGCAAAATCAGTTGCGTGCAGGTCTATTCAAAAGAACGAGAACACTGCAGTACACCGCTTCACAGAGAAACGGAAAGAATTAATTGATGTCTTCCTAAAGAAGAACGGCTACTCATGAAACTTTATCAGATGATACCTATCCCTTACATCGTCAACTACAAAGTCATCGACAGAAATCAATAAACGCATCATCCTACCATGCATAAAGAATGTATCAGAAATCAGACATGATTACTGAGACCACTTAGGATCGGTGTAGATCATAAACCAACAAATTCCCTCCAAACCCTATTATGCTGACTAAAGGAAGCAACAACCAAAGAAGACAAACCGAATATCATTTACAAAAGCAACTCCAATAATTGTGGTCAACACTACATTGGAAAAGGTGGTCGCCCTCTTCGCCTTCGTCTACATGAATACCAATTGGCCATTAAACGTCAGGAAATTTCATCAGTCATTTCAATGCATGTGGATAACAACTATAGATATGAATTCAACTTTGACAATGTAGAAATTTCGAACGGAGAGACGAAACACAAACAATATCAGGGAACTCCTAGAAGCTTGACATTTAGGCCAACTGGCAATCAACAAATGTATGGACATAGACCAAATGTATCAACCAGTTGGAAAAGTGATAAACGACAGAAAGGTTAGA